CATTCACTGACCCACATAAGCTATGTCTGGGTTCTGTCAGTTAGCAAAGAAAGGAAATATGTGAAACAGAGAGAAGAGAGAGGGAGAGGGTTTTTTCTGTCACTCTCTTAGTGAAAAGGAAAGTATATATTTCCATATGGTGTTACTACTATCTAATCCTACTACAAACACAAACATTGGAAACCTAGTGAAGATGAAATTTACTAATAACGATTGACAAGTTGAACTTTCTGAATATTGATTAGTTGAAGTTGTCAAAAGATTTCTAAAATCACCACTGAGTTTCTCAAATGGTACAGTTGCCAAAATCCAGATAGCAACAGTAGTTAAATTTTCTGATAGCTACTGTCAGGGCAAAAGTTGGAGTCTTGCAGTGACGTGTAGCGGGGCACATGAGCCTGACTTAGTGTATTCAGATGGTGCCCACTAACATTTAAAAACAAACACAATGATCTGACAGGTCACTAAAAACAACAAATTCAAATAAATATGCCAAAATTTTATTCTGGGCAAATATAATTCCAAGAAAGAAAATACAAAAGTTAAATGTCACAAAGAGTTCCAAAGAAATCAGATGAAAAACTGTGGTTGGGAGTTGAAATCTAGTAATGAGAAATGTTCAATTGTCATGTACAAAAATAGATTGGAGAAAGAAAAGTTTGTTATGGATCTAGGAAGGTTGCGTGAATGTATTAAATGTTTTCGTTTGGTTTGGTTTGTTGTGTTTTACAGTATATCAATCTCAATGGGTTATTTAATGCCGACAACTTTTTTTGCTGGTAGTATTTTGTTTTGTCGAAAATCTATTTTTGGTAATATTTTTTTCCTCAAAAATGTATAGCTGTTAATATTATTTTAAAATATATAATGCTGGTAATATTCTTTTTTTTTCAAAAACGTATTGGTGGTAATACTTTTTCAAAAATATATTGCTGGTAATAATTTTTTTTCTTCAAAAATTTATTTCTGGTAATAATTTTTTACAATGTATTTCTGGTACTAAAACCTATTTTTACACTTTTATAATGCTTTTTACCTCAGTTTCAGAGTTAACTATTTGCACATACCTGGGACCCTAACAGATGCTACCACCCCAGGTCAGGGTGAACCTGGGAACACCAGCAATTAAGAGGTGGTTCCACACTCCTCAAAACCTTCTGATCAGAGGCCTTGCTGTTGGACATAGTTTATTGTCTTACCCAGGACACAGATGTGGGTTTATCGTCATACCCAGGACGATTAAATGTTTTGCTGAAAATGAAACATGCTACATCCACAAACATAAATTTAAATAAAAATCAAATGATAACGATATTCAATTATGACAAAAAAAGATAACTTTGGGAAGAACATATATACTTTTTATATGCAGAATATTACAATCTTGTTTTGTAAAAATGTGTGCGAAAGATTGATCAGAGTATTTTTAAAGAGAAAATTATTGTTGTTGGTTTGGAAATGTTTCATATGTTTGTAATGTAGTTTGGAAAATTTTGTATGTATATGCATGTGTGAATATGTTTTCATAAGCATCTGACTGCACATGGTCAAGATGCGAATCCTTTAATGTTACATTTTCATAGGCAAACGGAATCAAGAAAGAGAAGAGAGAGAATGAATTCATATCTGATATTTATAATTAATGTAACCACATGGTAGGGTCCTGGAAAAAGAGTGGGAAAACTTGACTTGGTGACATGCTGGAAAAAGACATGTACGTGAGTGGATTTCAACACCCACTTGGGTGTTTATTGACCAATTAGGAGTTGAGATTTCCTGAAAATATGTATGAAGCTGGGCAAGCTCTTTGATCCACTTTTTGCACAGATTTGTGCAAAATTCAACATTGATCAGAAAGTGGTATCGGGATGCTAAAAGTTTATGTAGCACCACTGACAAGGAAACCATAATGATTAGTATATTACACAAAATCAGTATTGTATACACAATAGATACACAGATAAGATGATATATGTAGAATACTGACTAGAAGAGTTGATACACACACAGTAAATTACCCAGAACAGTTGATGGCCAAAGAATATGCCAAATCGATTGACATGTGCAGAAGGTAACTGGAACAATCAATGTTCAAGGAAAGGTAAGCTGAGTCAGTTGACATCAGCAGAAGGCAAATGGGACAGTTGATATTCGAGAAAGTAAGTTGAGTCAATTGACATCGGCAGAAGGCAAATGGGACAGTTGATGTTCAAGAAAGTAAGTTGAGTCAATTGACATTGGCAGAAGGCAAATGGGACAGTTGATGTTCAAGAAAGTAAGTTGAGTCAGTTGACATTGGCAGAAGGCAAATGGGACAGTTGATGTTCAAGAAAGTAAGTTGAGTCAATTGACATCGGCAGAAGGCAAATGGGACAGTTGATATTCGAGAAAGTAAGTTGAGTCAGTTGACATCGGCAGAAGGCAAATGGGACAGTTGATGTTCAAGAAAGTAAGTTGAGTCAGTTGACATCGGCAGAAGGCAAATGGCACAGTTGATGTTCAAGAAAGTAAGTTGAGTCAATTGACATCGGCAGAAGGCAAATGGGACAGTTGATATTCGAGAAAATAAGTTGAGTCAATTGACATCGGCAGAAGGCAAATGGGACAGTTGATGTTCAAGAAAGTAAGTTGAGTCAATTGACATCGGCAGAAGGCAAATGGGACAGTTGATGTTTGAGAAAGTAAGTTGAGTCAGTTGACATCGGCAGAAGGCAAATGGAACAGTTGATGTTCAAGAAAGTAAGTTGAGTCAACTGACATCGGCAGAAGGCAAATGGGACAGTTGATGTTCGAGAAAGTAAGTTGAGTCAGTTGACATGCTCAGTAGATAACAAGGCTGCTGATAAACTCGGGAGATACTAGAACAAGTGGTTGTGCACTGACCCATGCAGTCAGGGGGCGAAGAACTTAAATTTTTTCCTTAAAAATACAAATAGTAATTGCATACTATGTAATCAGGGGAAAGACAGAGTCTTAGTTTTGAAAGGTCACATATGTGTTTGACTGAAATGATAAGACCTCACGGAATCAACCACCTCACAGAATCATGCAGCAACTCAACAGTCTACTGGATAGAGAGGAGCTACTATTAAAGGCAGTGGACCACATGGTGACCCAGCAGATAATATAGGAACCTTAAAAGATTTCTGTCAAGGATACAGGAAGTGGCATCATACTGTTCTGAAGAATAGGGTTACTATACAACCCAAAGTTCTCTTGCCAAAAAATGGTCATTGATGATTTTTAGTTTCCAGTATGTTACAAGCTGTCAGCATAAAAAAATTACATTAGGATTTAAAAACTTTTTTATATCAGATCTCTGACACCATGTCCAAAGTAAGGTTTCTAATTGGACAAATTTGTTTGCTTTTCTCTTGCATATAAGTAGATAAGTATGAGTGCTGTATAGGAAGCTGGGATATTTCATTGGTTCTTGATATTTATTTCAACTCATTGTCAAAGTTCCAGTTCTTATATATGGTATAGAAAGATTGTTGTAGGTTCTGTAAAATATGGGGTTTTATTGGTTGTCAATGTTTTTGACTCATCATAAAGTTTTGGGTTTTATATAAGTTCAGAGAAAGAAGAAAAAAAAAAACAGACAAAAAAGTTTAATTAAGTGTTTGTTTTATCTCTTTTAGCAGTAAGAACACTTTCAGTTTAACTTTTAATATCTCCTTATTTTTATTTTTTTACTGAATTTAAAAGTTAAGCCTTCAACTGATGAGTTGGCATGTTAAAAACAAAAGGGTAGAGAAAAAAATAATATGCAGACAATTTGTACAAGGAATAAATTATCCTACACATTCATATAAATAAAATACATTTTTATAAATAAAATAGACAATTTGCCTGTTTTATTTAAATTTCCCTCATGTCTTTTCCCTATCTGTCAATGTTTATGCTAATATGTTGTTTTTTTTTATCTTGAAATTAGGGGTAAAATTTTATCTACTTGATTTTTGTAATTTCACCAGCATTTAAAATTGTTTCTCTTCTTTCAACTTGTTATTGATAGTATGAGTATGAGTATTTTCCTCATTGAGTGCTCCATGACTCTGGTCTTGTACCATTTAGCTAACTAAATACAATAATTCACTACATTGTTTAATTTTCAAATTTTGGAGAAACTAGTTTATTTCACCAAAGCTAAATTTTGTTGTCAAAGGAAATCATAAGACTGGATCAATGAATTCATAGACTTGTCTGTCATGGGTAAGACAATAAACTACATCCAACTGCAAGGTATCTGATCAGAAGGTTTTGAGGAGTGTGGAAACACCTCTTAATTGTTGGTGTTCCCAGGTCCACCCTGACCTGAGGTGGTATCACCTGTCCGGGTCTCAGCTATGGGCAAATAGTTACCCCCCCCCCAAAAAAAAGGGATGAAAACACTATGAAAGTATAAAAATAGGTTTTAATGCCAACAATACTTTTTGGAAAAATTTTTGCCAGCAATACATTTTTGAAAAAAAATATTACCAGCAATACATTTTTGAAAAAAATATTATCAACAATACATTTTTGAGAAAAAAAAAAACTACCAGCAATAAAAAATCTTGGCGGCATTAAATAATCCATTTAGGTTGATATACCGTAAAAAAAAACAAAAAAAGAAAACAAACCAAACACTAGTCTTCTTGACTGTATTTGATTTGTCATCATAGCGATTTACTAAGCGTAGCTTAGATGCAGCACAAGTACGAACGGATGGAGCACTTCAAACAGGATCGAACTCAATACTCAGTCGTAACTGACCTAGCGAGACAAGCTTACTAACCATTATTACACTACATCGAAGTGCCTTCCGATGAGACATTTGCAGACGAATTCATTTATATTTGCAAAATAATATAAATTATTAAAAAAAAGAAAAAGAAAAGTTAGAGTTATCTCCCCTGTTTCTCTCCGAAAAGAAAACAATATTTTCAAAATTTTAATCAAGTAACAAGAAAGAAAAGTAATTAGTAAAAATACATTCATATTTTCTTTCATAAAGAATGGCTCACCAATGGGGTTATGGACAAGTAAGATTAAATTTATCTCTATCTTAAATTACTTTTGCGCAAATTTGTTTTTTTAACTATATTTCTTAATTTCGTAAAGGAAAGGTTTTCAAACAAACCAAAAGAAACGTTTTTAAAATAGTTTCGATTTATTCTTACAGTATTTCTCGATATATTTTTTCTTTCGGTAACTTGTTCTTGTCGCCAACTTAAAAAATATTTCAAGGAATCCACTAGTTATAAAAATTAAAAATATCTTTCAGCAACTCTTCATGCTCGAAAGGTGTGGTTTCTTATCAATATACCGACCAGGAAGCAGATTTTTTTTTTCAAATAGCAATATTGTTTTCACTTAACATTCATTATTACTTTGTTTAAATCTTACCAAATATGAATATAGAATAATTTATTCCTTGTACAAATTATTGTCTGTATATTATTTCTTTTCTCTATTCTCTATTATTTTGTTTTTTAACGTATCAACTTGTCAGTGAAAGCTTCTCTTTAGAATCCACTTGAAAAAAGGACCAGTTTTGCTTTAACTCCCCATAAATGAATACAGAATGCTTATTTCATTTTTAAAACATTTCCTCATGTTTTTTTTTGTTTTTTTAAAAAAATGAAGTTTTAGGGATAAAAAGTGTTTATACATCGTTGCTAAAACCATGCTTTATCTACTCATGTGATAAACAAAACCTAATTTAAATTAAAAAATCTTAAATTACTTCTCAAAGAAAGACATTTATTCCGGGTCCGGCATATTTTATTTAGTTATTTTTAAAAGAAACAGAAATATTGCTAAAATTCACTGTTAAAGTCATTTGTAAAAATTTCAAAAATAGGAATAATAATAATAAATAAAACTTTTTAGCTTTTTCAAAAGATTATATATTTTTTTTTTTTATACTATTTTTTTTTTTTTTTTTTTACACCCTATAAAAAGTCAATAATAGTCAGTTATATTTCCCTTGTTTGCCGCCTAAATAAACTAACCTTTTTTTTTTTCTTCTTCTTACTAAAAATACGATTTAAGGATTTTTTTTAAAAAACTACCCTTCACTCCATTCCATCCAAAAAGTTCTCAGTAGCATTCCCACTGATTCAAAATTAAATTTAAAAGCTATCGTTAAAAAAAATAGTTTATTTTGTAAAAAAAAGTGATCTCTAAATTATTAAATTCTAAAAAGCAAAAGGCCCATATTTTACTTACATTTTTAGTTTTTATGTAGAGATTAATAAGTTTTTAACAACTTACAAGTGCCTATTTGTTACTTTGGGGCGAAAAAAAAATTATACACTCTTTTTTTTTATGATTTTCGCAAAAATGGATACAAAATTTAGGTCCAGTTTTTAGTAAATAAATCTGCTAAAAACTGAACCTAGATTTTGTGTCCAACTTTATACACATTTTATGATCTTCATAAATATGGACACAAAATCTAGGTCCAGTTTTTAGTAGATTTATTTACTAGAAACTGGACCTAGATTTTGTTATATGATATGTATGTGGTAAATTGAACTTTCAGTCACAAATCTTCTTTTGTGTGCATTCCGTTCAGGATGAGAGACTAATTATGGCCCTCCACAAATTCCTAACCCTTCTTGTAACACTAAGCAATGTTTTGCCTCTTCCTGTTTTGCCATCCATTTACACAAACACGTTCAGTTAGGTACATTGTTCATTGCTTCCCTCTGCCTTCTTGTGGATGTTAGATTCTCTAAGCCCCCTTTCCTTGTGTGCTTTCCAGAAATTTTACTTTTTCAGATCCTAAGTAAAAGTGCCTTTTTCATTCCAATTTTCATTAAAACTTTTTCATTGCTCACATGTTCTATCCATAACATTCTCAGTATTCTTCTGCAGAACCACATCTCTCTCTCTCTCCTCTTCATCTATTAGGAAATTATCCTAAATTCACTGCCATATAGGAGGATTGATATTATGTAACAGTTGAGCACTTTCATCTTTTGTTTCCAATTAGATTTTCTTCTTTCTTAATATTGTGTGGAGTTTTATAGAGCTCATCATTTTGTCACATTTTCTGTCGTCTGTTATAATACTTTAATTTCTGTACTTGCTCTGTTTTGTCAGATGTACCTGCATTTTTTTTTCCGTGTTTGTCAACAATGTGGTGTCATCTGCATATCTTATGTTGTTAATATTGTAACAAATCTACGCAGACCTTCAGTTCTCTCTATAAATAAATCTGCATATCCTATGTTGTTAAGATTGTAATAAATCCGAGACCTCCAGTTCTCTCTATAAATAAATCTGCATATCCTATGTTGTTAATATTGTAACAAATCTACGCAGACCTTCAGTTCTCTCTATAAATAAATCTGCATATCCTATGTTGTTAAGATTGTAATAAATCCACGCAGACCTCCAGTTCTCTCTATAAATAAATCTGCATATCCTATGTTGTTAATATTGTAACAAATCTACGCAGACCTTCAGTTCTCTCTATAAATAAATCTGCATATCCTATGTTGTTAAGATTGTAGTAAATCCACGCAGACCTCCAGTTCTCTCTATAAATAAATCTGCATATCCTATGTTGTTAATATTGTAACAAATCTCGCGAGACCTTCAGTTCTCTCTATAAATAAATCTGCATATCCTATGTTGTTAAGATTGTAGTAAATCCACGCAGACCTCCAGTTCTCTCTATAAATAAATCTGCATATCCTATGTTGTTAAGATTGTAATAAATCTACGCAGACCTCCAGTTCTTTCTATAAATAAATCTGCATATCTTATGTTGTTAAGATTGTAATAAATCCTGCCAGATCTCCAGTTCTCTCTATAAATAAATCTGCATATCTTACGTTGTTAAGATTGTAATAAATCCACGCAGACCTCCAGTTCTTTCTATAAATAAATCTGCATATCTTATGTTGTTAAGATTGTAATAAATCCTGCCAGATCTCCAGTTCTCTCTATAAATAAATCTGCATATCCTATGTTGTTAAGATTGTAATAAATCTACGCAGACCTCCAGTTCTTTCTATAAATAAATCTGCATATCTTATGTTGTTAAGATTGTAATAAATCCTGCCAGATCTCCAGTTCTCTCTATAAATAAATCTGCATATCTATGTTGTTAAGATTGTTAAAAGATTGTTCTCTCTATAAATAAATGCATATCCTATGTTGTTAAGATTGTAATAAATCTTGGCAGACCTCCAGTTCTCTCTATAAATAAATCTGCATATCCTATGTTGTTAAGATTGTAATAAATCCTGCCAGATCTCCAGTTCTTTCTATAAATAAATCTGCATATCCTATGTTGTTAAGATTGTAATAAATCCTTGGCAGATCTCCAGTTCTCTCTATAAATAAATCTGCATATCCTATGTTGTTAAGATTGTAATAAATCCCGCAGACCTCCAGTTCTCTCTATAAATAAATCTGCATATTTGTTGTTAAGATTGTAATAAATCTTGGCAGATCTCCAGTTCTCTCTATAAATAAATCTGCATATCCTATGTTGTTAAGATTGTAATAAATCCTGAATCTCAGTTCTCCAGTTTCTTTCTATAAATAAATCTGCATATTTTATGTTAAGATTGTAATAAATCCTGGCAGATCTCCAGTTCTCTCTATAAATAAATCTGCATATTTTATGTTAAGATTGTAATAAATCCTGGCAGATCTCCAGTTCTCTCTATAAATAAATCTGCATATTTTATGTTAAGATTGTAATAAATCCTGGCAGATCTCCAGTTCTCTCTATAAATAAATCTGCATATCCTATATTTGTTAAGTTGTAATTAAGACCTCCAGTTTCTCTATAAATAAATCCATATTTTATGTTAAGATTGTAATAAATCCCAGATCTCCAGTTCTCTCTATAAATAAATCTGCATATTTTGTTGTTAAGATTGTAATAAATCCACGCAGACCTCCAGTTCTCTCTATAAATAAATCTGCATATTTTATGTTAAGATTGTAATAAATCCTGGCAGATCTCCAGTTCTCTCTATAAATAAATCTGCATATTTTATGTTAAGATTGTAATAAATCCTGGCAGATCTCCAGTTCTCTCTATAAATAAATCTGCATATCCTATGTTGTTAAGATTGTAATAAATCCACGCAGACCTCCAGTTCTCTCTATAAATAAATCTGCATATTTTATGTTAAGATTGTAATAAATCCTGGCAGATCTCCAGTTCTCTCTATAAATAAATCTGCATATCCTATGTTGTTAAGATTGTAATAAATCCACGCAGACCTCCAGTTCTCTCTATAAATAAATCTGCATATTTTATGTTAAGATTGTAATAAATCCTGGCAGATCTCCAGTTCTCTCTATAAATAAATCTGCATATCCTATGTTGTTAAGATTGTAATAAATCCAATGCAGTTCAGTTCTCTATAAATAAATCTGCATATCCTATTTAAGATTGTTAAAAGCAGATCTCCAGTTCTTCTATAAATAAATCTGCATATTTTATGTTAAGATTGTAATAAATCCTGGCAGATCTCCAGTTCTCTCTATAAATAAATCTGCATATCCTATGTTGTTAAATAAATCTGCATATCCTCCAGTTCTCTCTATAAATAAATCTGCATATTTTTGTTAAGATTGTAATAAATCCTAGCAGACCTCAGTTCTCTCTATAAATAAATCTGGCAGATCTCCAGTTCTCTCTATAAATAAATCTGCATATCCTATGTTGTTAAGATTGTAATAAATAGACCTCCAGTTCTCTCTATAAATAAATCTGCATATTTTATGTTAAATTGTAATAAATCCTGGCAGATCTCAGTTCTCTCTATAAATAAATCTGCATATTTTATGTTAAGATTGTAATAAATCCTGGCAGATCTCCAGTTCTCTCTATAAATAAATCTGCATATCCTATGTTGTTAAGATTGTAATAAATCCTGCAGACCTCCAGTTCTCTCTATAAATAAATCTGCATATTTTATGTTAAGATTGTAATAAATCCACGCAGATCTCCAGTTCTCTCTATAAATAAATCTGCATATCCTATGTTGTTAAGATTGTAATAAAT